CTTTTTAAGTTTATTTAGCTTCCGCGAAAAAAATTTATCATTGTTGCTTAAATACTCAATTCACCCCCCCTCTTGAGTATTTGTATCTTGTGCATACCGACTAACACAAGGGTGTAAATGTCCTAAAACCACCTTTGATATCTCCCAAAGTCCAATTATCTTCAAATGATGCACATAAACTCTCGCTGGAAAATTAGTAGCCAATATAGGATTTGTCTTCTCTGAAACTGCTAACTCGGACCTCCTTTTCTCCTCTCTATTACATGAAATAAGCTGATTTAGAATTTCATTTGATTTCTTACTCTTATTTGTGTTCCTTATTTTTGTAGAGAAGCCTGCGTGTTTAGCATAATCCCTATAAAAAATCCTAGCTGCCTCAAGAGATTCGAAAAGCATGCCAACCTTTGGCACATACTTGTCATCAACATCACATAAAAACTGCAAAACAGTACACAAATATGTTACTAACAGCAACAGACACAGCACAAAATGAACACAAATTATAACGTAGAATCCACCGAAATAATAGGGAACAGAATCAAATCTATAATAATGCAACTAGAGATCAGCCAAACCTAATAGCAACAGAGCCAGCACAAAATGTACACAAATAATAACCTAGAATCCACAGAAATAATAATGAAAAGATTCAAATATGAAATAATGCAAAAAGAGATCAATCAAACATAATAGCTAGAAACGCAACACAAAATGTACACAAATAATAACGAAGAATCCACCAAAATAATAAGTAAAAGATTCAAATCTGAAATAATGCAAATAGAGATCAATCAAACCTAATAGCTAGCAATGCATCACAAAATGTACACAAATAATAACATAGAATCCATCAAAATAATAAGGAAAAGATTCAAATCTGAAATAATGCAAACAGAGATCAATCAAACCTAATAACAACAGAGCGAGCACCAAATGTACACAAATAATTACCTAGAATCCACCGAAATAATAGAAAACAGAATCAAATCTATAATAGAGTAACCAGAGATCAACCAAACCTAATAGCAACAGAACCAACACAAAATGTACACAAATAAGAACCTAAACTCCACCGAAATAATAGGGAACAGAATCATATCTATAATAATGCAACCAGAGATCAACCAAACCTAATAGCAACACAGCCAGCACAAAATGTACACAAATAGTAACCTAAAATCCACCGAAATAATGAAAAATCAAAAGCAACAATGTAAAGATGTAAAACCTATCCTGTATTCTCTGATTCACATGAAAGATCCGATTCCAAATCCATTGATCGATCTGAACTAGAAGCTTCCATTCTCCAACAACGTAAATCACAAATTTCAGAGATCAAATCAACAAACGAAAAAGGAAAAAGAAAATAATGACAATGAGATCAAGCAAATCAAAACGGAAATTAACTACGAGAATAAAAACAGAATTCTAACAACATAGAACAAGACGAAAATGAAAATCAAATGTAATCAAATCTAATAACATTGCAGAATTCAAAATAGAACGTACCACTTGTTCTAGAGAACGACGCAGAGAACCAATACAGAAGAAGAACGTTGCAGAGAACGTTCAAATCAAGAATCTCGAATCACAAATCTTTCAAATCAAACGAGCAGAAGAAAAACGTTGCAGAAAACATTCAAATCAAGAATCTCGAATCACAAATCTTTCGAATCAAACGTAAAGAAGGAGAACGTTGCAGAGAACGCTGAAATTACGAAACACGAATAACAAATCCTTCGAATGAAACAATGAAATCAACAAAAAATGCAGAAAAACAGAAGTGGAAGAACGAAGCGAAGAAGAACAGGGAGGAATGGAAAACAGAAAACTAAAAATTGCGCGTTGAAATTGTTAATAGACATTATAATAAGCGCGTGACATTATAATACATAATAATAAGGGTTGGAGTGGCGCGTGGACAAGTTTGCTTGTCAAACCACTTGTTCACCTAGAATTAATATTAATAAGATATATTTCCAAAAAATAAATAAAAATAGAATTAAATACCAAACTCATTATTTATTTATTTTCCTTAAAGCAGGATTTTTGTTTGGTTATTTTTGGTTGCCTATGGTATCTCTCAACCCGGCAGGTCGAAGACTAATCCACCGTGGATCTATGCTCCATTTAAAGATCTGCTGCTGGCCAATGGGTTGCTGCATGCCCCGTTTGTTTGGTTATTTATTTCTTCATGTTTAATTATTATATTTTAAATTCACATAAATTGACATATCCAAATCATAATACTTTAACTTTTAAATAATTAATTATTAATACAAATTGAAAAATTTAAAAATAATCAAATTAGATCAAATAAATATAATTTGCTAACAAAAAAAAATGTTACCGTTAAAAATTGATATAGATGCATATTGTCATTTGACACCGAAATAATATTCTATTTAGCATGGAAACAAACTACTTGGTTGGCGAAAACCACTTGTTCACGTAGAATTATTGAATTATTAATATCATGTTAAAAAAAAAACATAATCGAGTGGGTTTCTTCGATTTTGGCTTTAAATGGGGGATGGTTGTAATAATTAAATCTCCCACCGTGGAGCTCGAACCCACGATCACAAGATTAAGAGCCGTGCGCTCTACCAACTGAGCTAAACGGGCTTGGTATCCATATTCATATTTGTTTAACTTAACCAAATCGAAGTAAAAGAGCTTTATCATTTCCTCGTGCGAAAATTTCTAAACAAAATGCTTGGCAAATCAGACGTCCTAAGCATAACAAATTAACCATTACTGTGTAACCGGGGAAGGCAAAAAATTGTCAGGTTATCATTTTCATTTCCAATTCATCTTGCTCAGTAGACACCAAAAAAAAAAAAAATTCATCTTGCTCAGAAAAAGAAAAACCCTAACTCTGCTCGATCTGTTCGATCACAGCCCTAGTAAATCAGAAAATCGCATCCTCAATTCCAGCTCCACGGCGCTTCGTCTGCACCACGGTATCATATCCTCTGTAGCTTGCCGACTCCTTTTATTTGCTAATGTGTGAGAGATATGATAAGGAAATGGCCTTAATATTGAGGTTCTGAATTGGTAATATAATAGTTAATAATAATAATAATAAAAAAAAAAGAGTGTATGTGGTCTAGATTTGTTAGGGGAAGAAAATTTAAGGCGACAAGAATTGGCTTCATGTTGCTTGATATTTAATTAGTTGTCATTTAGAGTTTTTAACTTTAAAATATCTTTTTTGAGAAGTTTATAATGCCAAGAAAGCAATTAGAAATACATAAAAGATAAAACAGAAAAAGTTCAATGAATTTCTTATTTTCATTTTCTTTTACTCAGATTCTCAACACTTAATTTGGTGGACAAAATTCTACATTTTGCAGATTTCTCCATTGAAGGTTTCAACCACCATTATGGTAAGTTCTCCTTCATTTTTCGTCAAACTCTGATGAAATTACGTTGCATAAATGCATTCTTAAAACAATCCCTGACTTAGACTCTACTAGTGTGAATGAGATTTTGTTGTTGTGGAGGCTGTTGTTTCAATAATTCAAGTGTAGAGAATCACGATCTCGATTTTATTTATAGTATGGAGTTTATCTGTTTGTGGCTTCCTAGCAAAGAAAACCAGTTTCTGGGTTGAGTTTTGGGGAACTTTGTTTCTAAATTTGGAACAGGCGACACCCTTTTTCGCAGGGCTTGCTGTAGCTGCGGCTGCCTATGCTGGTAGATATGGAATTCAGGCTTGGCAAGCATTCAAGGCAAGACCACCTAGGATGCGCAAATTTTATGAAGGTGGTTTCCAGGCTACCATGACAAGGAGGGAAGCGGCTCTCATACTCGGTGTTAGGTGCTGCTGTTTGTTGTTTTAAGATTGTATTGTGATGATGATTGTTAGATGGTTATCTCATTGCAACAGTCACTTAAAAGAGGAAAATATCTCTAATATCAAATAGGCTGAAACACTGTTAAAAGATGTTTCTTAGTACAAGATTTTTGTAAAGATGAGATATTAAAAGACTTTTAAACTGTAATAATAATAAATGAGGATTGAAAGGCTAATTAATCAGAGCTTGAAAGAGGCATTATTATGTGCTTGTTTTTGCTTTCCATATTTTTTTATGTTTCACTCGTCTTGTTTTTTTCTTGTTAATTTTCGATTGTTATGATGGCAGAGAACACACTCCGACGGATAAGATTAAAGAAGCACATAGGAGGGTGATGATTGCGAATCATCCAGATGCAGGTGGCAGCCATTACTTGGCTTCCAAAATCAATGAGGCAAAGGATGTGTTGCTTGGGAAGACAAAGGGTGGTGGATCAGCATTTTGAAAATAATTAGTCACACTACAGTTTAGACGGCTGTTCTTTGCTGATACAACTGTGAGAAAGTGGGACATGGGATAAGGCACCCAAATAATCTAACGGTACATATCTTAGCATAATTTTGCGGTAATATTCTTTTTGTTACAACTACACTGGGATTATCATGGTGCATTGTGTAACTTGGTACATAACAATGTTCGAATTCTAATAATGCTGAATTTTAGATTGTTTGGTGTCATTGATGTTTAAAGTTTAAACAATATGATTTGAATTTTCATGTGTCAGTTTCATAAACATGGCGAGTTGTTATTTATAGCCGTGAGTTTAACGTTATTTTTCTTCGGTTTCTGTTAGTATTTTGGCAATGGATGATAAAAACTTGAGTGTCTCAACTCTCAAGTGAACTGGTCTTTAAGTTGAAAATGAGAAAATCACATAATGTTAACCGCCTGTAAATTTTAATGTTTTAAACAAGGCACAGAAAAGAGGAACTTGTATTAAGAATAGTTTAGGGATTTAGGGATTAATCACTCTGAGAATCTATATAGTTTTATTAAATTTTTAATTAGGTTCCTATATTTTTTTTTTTATTAAGCTTCTATACTGTTTTTAATTTTGTAATTAGTTTCTTATCGTGACAAAAATATTAGAATTAACAAAATATATCATTTTAAATTGAAGACGTCACAACAACTAATAGTTAAATTCCTAAATATGAATTCTCTCTATTTTAGAAGAATAAAATAACAATTTTCCATTTTTTTTAACATATTTTGAATTTTTTGAAGAGATGTGACTTTTATTCACGTAAGTTGACAATATTTTAAAAGAATATATATGAAAAAGGTGAACGAAAAAATATATTCAGTATAAACTTTCCATATATATATATATATATATATATATATATATATATATATATATATATATATATA